GATAAAACAATAGTAAATTTAGCTTTCCAATAAAACAATAGTAAATTTAGCTTTCCAATAAAACAATAGTAAATTTTGCTCTCCGATAAAACAATTGTAAATTTAGCTTTCCGATGAAACGATTGATAACCAGTGGTAGAGTAGGAATGTAGTTTAAAATGTATACATCTAGAGATATGAAATGAGGAAAACGTCAATAACATAGTACATTAAAGAGACAAAGAACTATCAAAAAAGATATATAAAGAACATCGAATGATCATCAACGAGTGCCAGAATTACACTGAAACCTCTACAGTTCGCTTTGAATACTGGGAACTTCCAAAAGTGTGACAATGACGACAACAATCTTAAAATAATCATCAAATTCCGTTATAAGAGAAGGAACAACTCACGTTTGTCATTCCTGTTTAATCAATATTAAAAGAATGGAAGGACAAACTACGGGTGCCACGTGTGGTAAGAGGATCTGCTTTCCCTTCCGGAGCACCCGAGAACACCCGATATCACCCTCGGATTTAAGTGGAGTTCTTGTTGATCAGTCTTTAGTTTTCTATATTGTGTTTTGTGTACGGTTGTTTGTCATTTGGTCGTTTTTCGTTTTTCTTTTTTATACACCCGTTTACGAGACGTATTATGGTATACCGTTGTCCGTCCGTCTGTCCGTCCGTCTGTTCGTCCGTCGTCAACATGTCGGACAGTAACTCAAAAACGTTTTAACCAATATTCATGAAACTTCAATGAATTGTTTATATCTATTGACGTAAGCTCCCTCTCGATTTTTTAAATGTTAGATCCTACGTTTCGAGATATGGGATTTTATTCATAAAAAGGGGCGATTTTCCAGTTTTCGGACAATAACTCAAAAATGCTTTGAGCAGGTTTCATGAAACTTTGGTGACTGGTTTATATCTATTAAAATAAGCTCCTTTTTTTTTCTTTTATAAATTTCTGATATGACATTGAGGAGTGATGGAACTTTATTCTTTGAAAAAGCGATGGGCGTACCATTCGCTCAAGGCACAGCTCCTTATTTGCATTGGCATTGTCAGTTCCCTTTCGACTTAAGTTTGAATATCCCTTTGGTATGTTTAGCCTCTCTTTTAAAAGGGTAACATTTGTTGATGACAGACGCTATGTGTTCGACTGATATATAAGGATTATACAAATGCAACAACATATTAAAGTAAACGTATATAACTTAGGAACTATTAAATGAATATTCGATGAACTGACATCGTGGTTAAACCGAAACGGAAAGTTAGTTGACATTTAAACTACACCTTCCACATTATTAAAAAGCAAGTTTTTTTTATACAATTCACACAAAATATTGTCGGTTTTAGAAATATAAAACACCTAGGTTAGGAAGAAGCTTGTTGCAACGAAAAACAGATTTTTTTTACTTTTCTACTTAGTGAGATTTTTGATATAGAGATGTTCAGAGATATTTTGTAGACTTTAAAGAGAAATTCATTTTTATTATCATTCTATTTTCAGGTCAAATTTGGCAATCAACTACAACGGAAAGGAATACAATTCCGAATGATTTGAAAACAACTACTGGACACATTACAAATCAAACAACACAAAAAGAAACGAAAGCCTACGTGTCAGCAAATTTTACTTTAGTATACAACGACACTAGCATTGACACAGAAATAACTGTTCTATCGTGAACAGTAGAGCTGGGTACAGTTTGTTGTGCTCTGGTTTGTTCAAGGTCATTATTTTGTCTGTCATTTGCATATAAGGAAGGTCAATGCAAACTTTATGTCGCGGTTTTTAACAATGATACTATTGTGAAAACAGGGTCAAAGGTATTTAAGCAGATTTAACATTTTTGTGCTGATATTAAGAGTAATTATGTCTATTTATATATATAAATATATAAACAAGTCTAAATTGAAAACAACGTTCAAACCTATGTATATGCATACATTATATTTATATAAATATATATTCAAAAAAATCAAACACTTACTTATTTATAACAGTTTACAGATAGTAATGTTCTCCAGTTAACTTTCTGTGTATGAGTCGCAGCGAAATATTTTGAAATAAGTGGGACGAAAAGCAGACTATTTGAGGTCAGTGACATTTTACCATGGGTTATCAAATCGAACTTTTAAATTCATTACCTTTTTATTTTTGATAAAGTAAGAATATTTTAATAGCAAAAAGGTTAGTTTTCGGTATACATATGTGTTCAGATAAATTCTTCTCCTCTCGTCAGTTTCAATTGTTTTAAAACTCGCTCTATAGTCAATGGCGACGTGTGATTCTTCAGGTAATGACAAAAACAAGCACATTTTGTTCTATATCTGCCAATGTAGCATCCTTCATTTTTATAAACGAAGACTTTTTTTGTGATTTTGGTGGCAAAAAATTAATTCGTACGTTTGGATTGAAGTTTATTATATGAGGGTATATCAGGATGTCAACTAGATCAGTTTCAAGAAATACTCATCCTTAATTGACTATTCTTAATTGTTTCGTATCTAGTGTTTAATTCAGCTTAAGTTTCTTGTATTTGCTTTATTTTTATTTTTGTTTGACTCCATTGACTCGAAGGGTCTTATACAAGTATTATAATTTATGTTTATCTATCTCTAAAACTTATTTGGAATGGATTGAAGGGTGTATGCACGAAACCATCCAGTAGGTAAATGAAAAGCACATTTTGTTTGTATCTTCACACATGTAATTGAATTTGGTAAAAAGCCAGTTTCCGACAATTATTTAAGATAAATTAATATCTATCATGGCTGCGTTACTCTCCGTTCTTTACCCATTCTTGTGCCTTGCTGAGTATAATGCTAAGCCCTTGCTTTGCATTTCTAAAATACCAAAGGTTTAAGAATATAAAAATGAGAAGATGTGGTATGATTGCAAATGAGAAAACTCTCCACAAGAGACCAAATGACACAGAAATTAACAACTATAGGTCACCGTACCGCCTTCAACAATGAGCAATGCCCACACCGCATAGTCAGCTATAAAAGGCCTCGAAATGAAAAATGTAAAACAATTCAAACGAGAAAACTAATTGCCTAATTTATGTACAAAATAATGAACAAAAAACAAATATGTTACACAGCAACAAACGACAACCATATATTATATATTAAATTCAGAAAGTGAACTGATAACTTCGACTGGATTTTTTTATGTTCATTATTGATTTTCAACTGCCTAATCGGAGTTTGTATTTAATTATACGACCGGTATCTTTGATGACTTTTTACAACCACTGGTTCGTTGGCGCTTCTGTTGGACGTTTCGTCCCCGAGGGTATCAGCATCCAAGTAGTCAGCACTACACGTGTGACATGTCACATATGTAATTAATAAGGTCATTTTTGTTTTATAAATTTACTGTTCATTTCACTTTAAAATCATTCGAAACACTAAGGTTTTTCTACACCTAGGCAACGGTGGCCTAAGCCTGATTTAGAACATTTTTAAAAAAAAATTATTAACGTGGACTATCAGTCCCCAAGGCTATCAAACCTTTCTAAAATTTTCCGTTTATAAATTTATAAATTATAAAGAAACTAAGGTTTCAACTCCCTCGGGCAAAGTTGACCGTAGATAGATTTGGCATATATTTAGGTCTATTTTGGTCATGCAGCTCTTCAAATGTTTCGGTTCTTTTACATTCTTGGCTTTCAAATATTCGGCTTTGACCGTTCTGACTGAAGGTTAATCCAGAAAAGCGCTTCGAACGCATGACATTTATAAAGTGTTGTTTTCGTTTTTTTAATGCTTTTCAACTGCGTAGTAGTAATTGATTTGGCATTCTAACAGATTTGAACCGAGTGCTACTGATGAATCTTATCACAGCACTGAACACTATTATATATACTGATAAGTGGTCTTATCATTTTACTACATACACCATTTGTCAAAAATTTTGATTCAACGTTATCATACACTTTCTAAAGTCTATAAAAGCTACAAATTTTACCAAAGTTGTATCCTCATGCCTCACGAGTTTCTTTAATAGAAATTAAATAGAAAGATGATCCACAGCGTTTATTTCTTTTACTAACCCATTCAGTGATGCGGTCTATCAAATTACCAACATGAACATGTATGAAGCAAGTGCGAGATACATTCTCTTGTAACAATGGATCAGTAGGATCGGAAGTTGAGAACTTTGGAATAGTTGTTGGAATACCTTTTTACCGACACTGAGGAATCGTCCAGGATAAATCATATATCACAAATACTTTGTAAGATATAAGCACCTGGATACTTTAAATATTATTGATAATTTCGTTCAATTATGATTTTAAAAATTATTTAAAAAAACAACTATCATCCTGAGTTATATAGGATTTCTTCAATAATTCACATAACGAATTTTTCTAATTATTATTTTTCATTTCCAAATTCAATTTTCCAGATACAATTTCAGACGATTTGAATGCGGATGGTGTTCTCCCTATCCATGGTATAAAAAAAATCAGATAAGCGCCGACAACAAAATATTTCCCATATCCTTCAGCACTTCTTAAATAGAATTGAGCTTGAATGATTTTATAAATGTTTCTTCTGTTCTTTTAAATACTGTTTCACGAAAGTATGACACAATAGGAAATAAAGAATGAATTACACCAAAAATTATACACCGGTGTATGTGATTTTATGCGTTTGTGAATTGGTCGCATATTGAAGAAGACATGAAGTAGCAGAGCTGAAAGGTGGACCCAACTATACATTAGATACGAGAGAGAAAACACGTAAATGGCGAAGAGGGGACGGATTAGAATATATGGAGGAAAAAAGCTGAAAAGATGGACAAAAGAGGTCAAGTGAAAAGTTACATTTAAGTTAATGGTGGTTATTTCACAATTCTTGACGTAATTGTGAAACTGTAATCTTTATTTATAATTATAAAAAGGTCATAATAATCATGTGAAAACAACCAAATTAACCACCAGTAATGATTTCATATAACTTCAATCATACAACACAAGTGGGAAGTCAACAATTAATGTCAAGAGTGTAGACATGAGAGTACTGGTAAATCATGTTCAGACATGTAAGGCTTATTTTTAAATATTAGGGAAACTGAAAGAGTTTTGTATAAAAGAAAGACAACCTTGTAGTTATATCATTTCTGAAGAACAGCAGCATAATAAAAGGTAAGAATTTATTTTATACAATAAGTGAACTTATAATGCAGAAGTCTCAAACTATATTCAAAATAAATATAGCATAACATTGAGTTTTGTTTCACTCGTCAGCTTCAATCAGGTCCTTTTAAAAATAATTATAATATTTTAATGATCCTTCATGTGAGAGGTATATCCTGGACTGTTTATTTATTATCATGTCAATAATGATCAGTCATTTCCTTATTTATCTTCGAAATTATTATTATTTTAGTATCCAATAAAAATATTATGTGATAAATGTTTTATTGCTTCAATTTTAATGATTTAAGGTGGTACCAAACACCTTGACTAAAACTAATTTGGCACGTTTAATTTTCATAAAATTTTGACAAAATATTTACTTTGACCCTTTGACAAAAATATAAAAATTTCAAAAAACTTGAACCACACACTTTATCGGAAAAATTTCATTGGATATATAGCAGTTTGACAAACACTAATTTTGATCATTGAGAAGCTTAATATTTCCTTAACAATAGAACGTGATTAAAACGTTCTGCGGATTTTTACAGAGGTATCTCCCTGTAGTGTTATGTACCACCTTAATGCCATTTATAATTATTCGCATGAAATAAGGAATCGTCATTAAATTGACATTTGATATTTTTTTCTGTTTCTTCGAAGTTTTATTATCGATAATAAAAAGGGAAATATTTCTATTATACATTTTAAAGAGTACTTTTGAAACCTAATAAAGACAGATTGTTATTTCATTGTTATCTTTCTGAAATACATTAAGACCTTTGATTTTAGGTTCAGTATCTGAATTTTCACGAAACAATTAGCAAAACAATACAGTTAGGAATTCAAAGTAAAATACATTATTTGTGCTATCAAATGTAATATGTAATATACTGATCGGTTTTATGTCGAGATCAATTCAGGATGTTTCTGTTCAAATAACAGGTATGAGAATCGGAACCAACGGTCTTAAAAACAAATCGAATCTAATAATTTCTATAATTATAAGATAGTATTATCAGATTGTTCGCGACTTTTTATCATTTGCTTTAAATTATAGTTTGTTTGTATGATATCCTTTAAATATTTTTTTTATGAAATATTCATAACAGGCACTAAATTACCGGCACTACCTTGATAAATTTTTGTCAATGTAGTACCAGACTAAATTAACAAATATACATAAAATAAAACAAGATAAATGAAACCAGCAAATTTATTACATTACCATCTGAGAGTTTTAACGTTGGAAAATATTCATTCAAAACAAGTTTAAATAACATTTCAGTAAAGTAAGTGATTTAGATTTTAAAAATCTTTATTGTTATGATTTTACTATCTTTGATTTGTCCATGGATTAATAAAAATCTAACAAAAACATTGTATTTATATTTGCAATGGCTACATGACTAATTATTAATACAAAAGACTAGGCAGTACAAACTATGTCATAAAAAGATGACAAACATCAATTCTTGACGTTTAAAAATATGTCTATTTATGTATTTTAGGTTCATGCTTTATATTTGATTCAATACAGATAAAGATGAAAATAACTCTGGTACTGTGTATTGTTGTTTTTGTCGGTATGACTTCGGCTGGAAATGGTGTTGTTAACCTTATAGTAGAGTCATATGAGGTATATTTAAATGTGTTGTAAATGTAATTTGGATTTAATTTAAACTTATTCAAGAAATACGCATACATTTGTAGGAGGGTATATTTAAACACAAACAATCGTTTTTGAGTTGTCATTCAGTTGATTAAAATGTAGTTAAAAAAATGAGCAAAAAGAAGTGCATCACACCAGTTTAGGGGATTTTAATCATTGCGAGTAACAAATGAGATTGTCAGATTAATTTTATTTTTATTTTATTTCAAAAGTTGAAAAAAATTATTGTAAATGGTTTATTTAAAACAAACATCGATATTTTCATATCTAAAAGTATCCCCCGTTTATATAATAAATGGCTTTGTTTGTTCTTATATGCCCCTTTCGACCTTCTAACATTTTCTATATTTCTCTTCCAAAACGTTTCTATTAATTGTACTTTATGAAGGTTATTCCAGAAAGTCGTGTCGGGCTCCATACATTATTCTTCCTATTCTTTCAATATAAAAAGTATAACAAAAATACCGAACTCCAAGGTAAATTCAAAAAGGGGGAAGTCCATAAAAATGACAAAACCAAACGTTAGTCTTTATCAACCAACGAAAAGAATTGAAAACGACTGTTATATTCATGACTTGGTACAGGCATTTGCCGAAGAAAATTGTGGGTTAAATCTGGTTTTATAGGTAGCCAAATCTCCCACAATAACGGATAATAGATGTTGATGAAAATGTAATGACGCATGTGAAAACACATAGATTAAAACTACAGATATCATTCAAACTAAATATAACGAAAACTAATTCGCAGATGCACCTGAACCGCATAAAAAGATCATCAGAACCAGATATTGAAAGTTCTTTGCACATGGTATTCACCAGTACAGACGAAAACCATGACGGACACATTACAGTAGACGAGATGGTAGACTCTGTCGTTGGGAGCACCGGCGTAAAGATTGACCAGAACATGAGACAGGGCTTCAATGTTGTATTTGGTAATCCCAAATACGACTTAAATGAAAATGGTACCCTCGAGGAAAAGGGTATGGATTCATTAATTTAAGGAAAACACAGAATTAAGTAAAGGTGTTAAAAATATTTTTCATGTTACATGTTTTAGCATATGCTACATCAAAAATGACATTTAGATGATCATTGGTAGACAAACTTAATCAAAAACCTTTTGCTGAAAACATCATCAGGATAATTATTAAGATGCATGCTAAATGGTCATCATCTATTGACAATTCATAAACGGGGAACCCTGATTTATATTTTAAGCAGCTAATGCGATATTTGGTGCTTTCGAATATAACTGAAAACGAATAACTAGAGTAAATTGTTTGAAAAATTAAAGTAGAAAGTTTTTTTGACAGGAAATTCTCTCTGAAAAGACCGAATTATTTAATTAAAAGTGTTTCCTGCAGCAAAAGTAGCATTCGATGGTTTGCTTTTATTTTTAATAGTGTCGAATATTTTATTTATGGGTAATATTCCTTCAATTTTAAGATGAAGGATACAAAAATTATCAAGTACTATGTAATATAACAAATGGACATACAAGTCAATCAACTACATTAAGGAGGGTAAACAAATATGAAATATTTAACGAAGATTCTTAATAGTATTTGACTCTTCAAATACAGCAATGCATTATTAAAACATATACACGTAGAGCCACATACCTACAACGAAAATATCAATACAAAGAATTCATCCAAACATTTTTACAAAACATAATCCTGTTAAATACTCATATATTGATCTTGTGTATTAAGTCTGTAGAAAACGTAACAGTCACATGATTTAAGCTATAAATCCAAAACATGGAAGATAGTTGGGAAACTTTACACTTAGACTTTGCTTCGTATGATCAGATAATAACATTCCTGTACTATGTAAAACTTAACAGTGAAAGACCCGCCCGTGCTTTCATACACAAGAACTTTAAACCATAAATTGTGACAAGGTTATTTATTTTTATCCTAAATTGATTTAGTTACTACTACAGAAAACAAAAACATGAAATACATGCTTTCCGTATAAAAAAACGTGTACTTCGGACTGTTGATCAATACATTTATCTCAAAACATTTATCTCGAAATCAACTTGTAATTTTCCATACATGTAGAATGACACCCGGCATATAGAGAATGCAATATTTACCTCAACAGAGAACCTTATTTCCTCTCATACAGTTATATTATAATATTATAATCAACAGTAATAAAAAATCAAAGTACTAAAGTACTGAACATCGGATGACCGCAGGTTCTTGTGGATGGTCAAAAGCACATGTCACAGAAACAGATCACATCTCTATACCTGAAACTGAGGTTAATTTACAGAGATTTTTTTTTCTTATACAAGTTCGTGCTTGGATGATGAATAAATGACAGGAAATTCAACCTCACCGTAATAACTATTATATTGTAGTGATACAAATCAGTATACCTTAGACTATTATACTAATATAATAATAGTTCCAGAGAATACACTGGTTTGTTGTTATATATTATATTAATATTACGGTTGCATGCATGTATATATAATTTTCATCTATATGTATATCATACTATTCTACTATTATTATAGTGTAATGCAAGTGCATGGTGGACACTCTTCTGTAAAAAAAAAATCAAAGTCTTAAAGGCTGTAAAAGCAATTGCTGCCATGTTAATGTTTTGTGGACTTTTATTTTTCATCCATATATATAAGAATTAAACCTGACAGGACAGGAGTGTTGACTAGTGAGAAGCAAGACGGTTTTAACTTTATATCAATATAAGACTTTAGCAGGAAATCATATTAAATATGTTTTATATTTTACAAAGAGACAACAAGTTTACCAGGCTAAAGTTGGGGTTAATTATACATGTGCTGAAACATATAACTGAAAAAAAAATCATTATGGATTATCCCCTGGTAGTGTTTGTAACTGGGCAATAATTTCCTTTATTGATTTAATTTTAACCATTTTCATAATTAATTTAAATTAACCATTCAGTTAAAACATTTCAACTTTCCAGACGCAAATGTTGAAAAACGGGACAGAAATAAAATATCTTACAAGACATAAACATGTAAAAAATAAATATATATTTCAGCTTACTAAAAATATTTTCATAATGTTACTTTGACATCATTCCTTAAAACTAAGTCCCAAACATAATTGCTCAGTTGACATGTGTCATCCTCATGCGATACGAGATAACTATAATTCTCATGCAATCCCGAAAAGGGGGGTCATCACAAACAAACATGACATTAAATTGTCATTATACGAACTAGAACAAACAGCTCTATGTTGCTTTGATATTTATCAATTTTCAGGAAACATGTGAAATAAATTTCAGGTCCATTTCATTATAGTGCCTAACAAGATTGCGTGAGGTAGACGAAATTGACCTTAAAACGATCGTATTGTCTTTTGATGTCCAAAAATAGGCAGATCGGACATATAAGGACTTTATCTAATGACTACATAAATTTGGGATTTATTATTATTATAATATTCTAATGAAACTGAAAATTGTATCTTTTTTTAGGATAAACAACAATTTTACCTGGCGTAGCCGTTCATAAATGTTTTTCTGCATTTATCTTCGAAAAATGGCGTATTTAATGGAATAGAACGTTAATACAGTAAACTTTCTCTTTTTTCTCCGCAATAGGCTATCAAAAATAATTTATCTAATGTGTATGTGGAAAATTATGTGAAAAGATAAAAAGTGGCAATTGTTACCTTTCATACCTTAAGTTTCGTTCATCTGATTCTGACCAATGCTTATATACTAAATATCTATTTATATGCCGCTATTATTGTTGTTGTTACCAATTATGTAAATCAATTGTATCTGATTTTATGCCCTTTATGGGCCCTGTAATTTGGGAAATAAAAAAAAAATCTATTCATTGATAAAACGTAATATGGACTGGTCCAGTGTCCAGTTTGCAGGTCATTTAATTTTCTGTACACATTCATGCACGCTCTGATTTAATCAATATACTCGTACGAAAAAGCATGAACAGTTTGAAGGTAATCTAATAATAACTTAATCCAATCAAATTGCATAAGATTCAATAACAATGTCAAGTCCACATCATAATGAGTAATAGAGGTAAACTGGGTAGGGAGAAAATGACAGATATTTCAAGTTAATATTTATGCAATAACGAATTAAAATTTGTCAACCAAAAGTTTTGCTACAATTTCAAAAACATGTCGTTCTGTATGGGTATAGTTTTCGGATCTTTCATTAGCGTATTTAAGGCTATAAAAAGTTTGGGCTTCAAAAGTTCACACAATTATTGACTTTATACAGAAAATTCGTCCTTGTAAAACATTTAATAGTTCACAAATGATACGCGATTTTAAAGTAAAATTATTTCTTAAAACACTGCAAAAAATTTCATTCATATTGATAAAGTGGTATCGTCATAAAGTGCGTTGAAATGAACAGTGGTATAGCAAACATCGAATTCCCTCACAAAATGTTATCACACACTACAGTAAGGGGAGTCAGTTAAGTTTGTCTATTTTTAGATACTATACAGGTAATCTTTTGACACCACGTATACAACCTGTGTGACCTGTGTAGTGATTTTGATTTTACGATAAATTCATGAATGAACGAAAATTTTATGAATGAACATGAGCACCTGACCTCTTTCTTAAAAACCTATTAAACATATAAAACCGTATTTAATAAGGAGATAATTCAGTCAAATTTTCAGTACTAAATCAACAACTGAAATGATTCCATTTTTTGATGAAACATCGTACGAACGGAGAACGGAATCGCAGGTATAAAAATGCACTTTTTTCCCTTGTAATGACCGCGGATCTATAATTTTTATAGATCGGTTGAAATCCCAAAACTAATTTGCATAATGGAAATTTAGGCGATAGCAATACATCGGAGTGACCTCAAGGTCATCCTCTGTAAAAATGAAGTCACAAAAATAATAATTTCTTTTATTTCTTTGTCATTTTTATTATTTGTCATACTATGTTTGTATTTAAGGCGAGAATTATACAGTATAGTGGTTGATCAATTTCATATACACAAAGACTCTTAATGTTACCTTGTTTTTTTTAGAATATGCTGAACTGATTAAATCAGGAATTGGAATGTAGAAAATAAAAGCCTAGAACTTGTGTTGAGGAGACGGAGCAGGAATTTGACAATATATGTTTTTTTTTAGTAAAAACGGCGATTCTTATAATATTACTAATAAAGAATAGATTCATTTTAACACACATTATTTGTTATTGTATTCATGCTTGAAATTAAAAAAAAGGTTCTTAAAATATTTAGATGATTTGCAAAGCACTATCAAATTACTGCAAATACCAAGTAACTCGTAGAAAAATATTCCAAATAATTTGTCCTGTGACCATGTTTTGTACTACGTGACAGTAACGAATTAGATGTACTATGAACTTTGGACAAACTTGTATGTGTTTATGTTTAAACAAAAGTATACTTCCTGTTCCATTTAAAAAGTGTGGTTTGAACAATAAACGATATAACGTCAACTCTTTGAGAACTATTATGAAGAAAACATGAGACGTTTTAAATTTTTCAAAAGTCACAGTTCACCGTTTTATATTCTATAGGATTTTGATGTTCACCAATGAAAACAAAGTTATACTTTTGGCTCCATATCTATTGTTTATGATGTTGTTCACAAACGTTTTGGTGTACGTTTTTTTAAAGGTTACGCCGAAAAGATTTTTAACATGTTTAAGTAGAATTTAAAACGGCGGATCTTCCTTTTGACATTTAAAAATAGAGGTTGCGTGATATTTCCGACGTTGATAAAAGCCACTGAACATATGTCTTTATCAAGTGATGCATGTATAACAGCAAATGCTTACTCTGTCGAAACAAATGGTGTTACTTCCATTTTTGTTCATGTGATTACGATTGTATCTACTTCCACGTTCAACTATTTGTATTTTAAAGATATGAATTTTAAACTGATGTCAAGGTTAAGATTTTCTCAGACTGTTTGATACTCTAGTCTGGGCATGGAAGGATTATGTCAATATAATACTTCCATGGTCTGGGAGATCATGATATATAAATTAGTTGTCATATAATTTGTACTAACTTTACGAATCTAAGATCGGAACATATTGTCTTTATGTTTTTATTGTGATTCGTGCCAATCTCATGGGTCAAGCCATTTCCAACTGATTTTTACAGTTTTTTCTTATACTGATTTGTTACACCACCACCCCATGTTAGAAGAGGGTTGAGCGTAAACAAGTCTGTTTAACCCCACAGCATTCTATAGATGCATGTCCTTAGTCAGGAGCTTGTTATTCAGTGGCTGCTGTTTGTTGCTGTTTGTCATATTTCAATTACGCTTCTTGTTTGTCATACATCAGGCCGTAGGCGTAGTCTTTTTCAAAAAGTTTTTAATTTCTGGATTAATGGTTTTTAATTTTGTTTAAATAATTTTTTCCGCAGCTCTGTTTAAATTCAAAATTTAAATTTTCATAACAAGACTTTTTTTTGAAAGAATTTAACTCTTTTAATTTTTTTTTTAGTTTTTGATTTAGCCCTGTGAAGACAAGATAGCTTTTAATTTTGGAATACTTTACACAGACCTTTACTGGAAGAATTAACACCGCATTAGGTTCAAGTAATTACGTTATAAACAGTTAAAACAACTATTCTGCTTGCTTTTACAAAGTCCTAGAATACATTTCACCTTGTTCATCAAAATATCAAAATGTTCTCAGTCTGTGTCCCCCTTGTTTGGGTAATATTGTTCATGTGAACATTTGTATTCCTTCCAAAATTGTACTTATCATACAAATTTTGTCATTTAAAAAGTGATTAATTGTAAGGAAAAAATTATAACACAATGAAAAAGGAATTCAAAAATCTTTTTTAAAAAGTGATATGAATATTACTGTTTTCGTCGAAAATGGGTCGCATATACCACATAAAATAGTAGTGAATAATGTGTATATACATGTTCAAATATTATTATGTATATACGATGAGATGGGGAAAATCATTTCAGATAACGTATGTACTTTCTTTTTGGGGATGTTGACAAAATTAAATGCTAGACAAAAATCCATGACAAGAAAAAAGTGTCATTTTTAATATATTGTATAAATAGTATCAATTCCAACCTCTCTTCCCTGTTTACACTTCCGAAGCATCTGAGCTCACATCCTGATGTATGTGTTTGTGTTGCTCAATCGTACGTCTTCAGCGTGTTATCTTATTGGTTTGTTGTTTATCAGTACCCTTTTTTTCTTTAAACAAAAGTGTTATCTAATTTTTGACAAAAAGTTCGTCGTCACATTTTCTGGTTATGTCCTATGTGGGTTAGACGTTAACTAAGTTCCTAAAATATTGTCAAGACCATATCTGATATCTGATTGCTTCAGGTTCTGTTTTGGGTAAAAAAAGGGGTTGGGGGGTTGGAAAGGAACAAGAAAAACAAATACAGAATATGTCTACTGTTATGTTTCCTCAATTCCGAAAAACCTTTTGGTCATATTTAGTATTTCAGCTTTTGTATTAACTTTTTAAAATATTCTGAACTTTCGATGGCGAAATATCCCATCCACTCTTTCTTTCCGACTGCTACTAGTATTATATTATTCCATATTCGAACGGTAAATCAATAGTAAACATAATATTTGGCTGCAAATGCTGCTGGTGAACTGCCAGCACACCACGGGTACCTACTATTCATTAACCAGAACTTCAGTGAAGGTCTATTACACTATATAACGCGAATTTTAACATTTTATTTAACTTACTTTTCATGTGCAACAAGATCAGTATCATTATTTTTTTGTACATGATCTCCAATACCTCTGGTTAAAAGCGTACCAAATTTTCGTAAGAGACTTGAGTCGTGCGTATTGAAATCGGTATCAAAATAGAAAAATCATAATCTTCTCTTCAATTCATATCCTGTATTTAGTTATTCTAATATGACGTCCTTATTTCGCTTTGTATACAAAGACGTGTTCTATTTAGCACAAAATATGTTTGACACATGCGCACAAACTTACTGTTTACATTCTCGATATTTTCATTTTGATCGTAATGAAATATATATATGTTAGCTGCTTACATAAAATTATATTATATATTGTTATTAAAACATCATGTATTTAACCTGCTATTAGTTTTTAAACTTATTGATATGAAAATGTAATGTAACGGGAACAGCCAAACATTCCTCAGGCATTTTCGTACTCTTCGACAGATAAAAATACCGTTTTTTTCCTATTAGAATCGAAATAAGTCCTTCATGTCAAGCTCTATACTCATTTCAACATGGGTAGGCATTATATTTGACCATATTTTACACCTCGCTAACGCTCAGTGTAAAATATCGGCAACTATAATGCCTAGCCATGTTAAAATGAGCATAGAGCATGACATGAAGGAATTATTTCTTAATTTAATACTATGAACAACAAAGATGTAAGGCTTGATATTTTGAAATCTTTTATTTACACCATATACCCAAGTGTATTTCAAGTCTGAACAGTATCTTAAGTGCAAATCGATAATGATATTCATTCCTTTAAAAAATCCACCGTTACGATATTGTCTGTCTGTTTATTTTTAACATTTTAGGTTAAAAATATGTCGGGTATGAAAAAGGAAGAAGGAAATTGTCAAGATGAAGATTGTTTTCATTTTGATTTTTCTTTTTACATTCCGTAAGTAACTTATCAAACAAAACTGTTATATATCTATATTCCAGCTCAAATATATATGTCATCTTAAATTTTATTGGATGCAAAATAGATAGAATGGTTAGGTAAGCAATGAGAATGTGAATTCTTTCTATTACTTGCCATAAGAAAAAAAAAACATGATAATGTCATCATAAAAAACGAAATTGCGAACTGTTATTAGGTCTTTCCACTTTTCTGTGGAAAAACCTATTGTACTTGTTCTGATTATTATTAGGTCTTTCCATTTTTCTGTGGAAAGACCTATTGTATTTGTTCTGATTTTTATTATTATTATTATTTTTTTTTCTTCTTCCGCCCCTTTTTTCTGACGATGCTTTTTTGTTTCGCAAGATGTCGCTTAGATTTTTTTGCATATGATATCGAACAGTTATTACGATTTTGAAACTGACCCTGTTAAGCCGAACACTTTTTATTGTAAGTGTTATCTCCCCAAACACTGTTTTTCTTGTGTACAAATCTCCTTCGAAAAGATTACGACAAAATTATTCCACCAATTTGCTCGTTATATCCTCAGGATCTTGAAAATAATTTTGACCGAAGCGGTCCGGAAACTCCATTTGGAGTTATTTCCCCTTCTGTATTTAGAATAAGTAAAATGTAATTGTAATTGGTAAACCATAAGTGATAGAGACCTAGGGTCTTTTGATTTGAGGTCCTTGGTCCAAAAAAAAAGAAAGAAAATAGGGTCAAGGTCAAAGGTCAAGGTCATTTCTAAATTTGGATTTTGGCTTATTTTCACCTCTTTTCAAACACAATATAATATATCGACAACATATTTTTACTTAATTGTTAGTTGCGACATGTCGTAACACATACATTTTGGTTTAAAGGGTACGCTTACATCAAATTAGAGTTTTCTCCCCTCTTTTATTTAAAAATATGCATCTGATGATATAACTCATGAACCAAATATAATCAAGAAGGGGTCATTTGATTTGAGGTCCTTGGTTGATTGCCTTGAAATTGAGCTCAAGGTCATAGGTTAAATTGACGTTCTAGATTTTGACCTTTGCTTTTACCTCATATGTATACATGATAAAGCCATGGGACTTTTTGCATTAGGTTTCAAGCCAGTTAACCTTAGAAAGGCCAACCAGAAGTGACCTTGTGTAAACCGGAAGTAGCTTTTTTTGTACTTAATTAATATAAAAGTTTATAGAACCAGATATTTTTGGTATCAGTGTCAATTAAACGTTTGAATAATACCGGAAGTAGCATTTTTCAAACCGAAAGTAACAAATTATCTCCCTTATTTAAAAAATATTGTTTAGAAACCATATATTTTTGGAATCAGCGTACAATAAGCTATCATTTGACGCTGGAAATGACATTTTTAACCGAATTTTACTATTTTCATATTAAAATACATGTTTTTTTTTGTGGAAAGACCTTCAATTGTTCTTTGAAAAATTGGTTTTTTATTTATATAATTACAAGTTTGATCGTTTATATAAATATACATTGTTAATTTCCATTGTGTAGTGCAATGTAGGCGTACATATAA